ATAACTATAGCTGTGTGGAACAGCATGTAAGTTAAAAGTAACTCAATTGCATACTGGCATACAATCTATATAGTGCAGAACTGCATTTCTGGGTGAAAAATTAACTCCTGTAGTGGAAATGATAAGGTATGGTGGGCATTAACTCCAAAAGAAAAGTGAACTTCCTGAAATGGTGTGGCAAATGGAATCCAGCATAATAACAGTGTGAAGTACAAACCTTGTTCTCAGTCAGATACTTATGCTGTGATCCAGTTACTGACCAAGTAGTGATTGGATCAACAGTTAAAAAACTTTACATTTCAAGTCTGAAATTCACTTCCCATAGATTACAAGTTTCATTCATGCTGTTTCAAGAAGTTAAGATACACTGTTCCTTAAATGTTTGTATAAATTGCTCTGTTAATTTCCTACAGTATGGTTTTTACTCCATGTTGAAACAAATTCAACTGTGATTGGCACAGAAAATACAGCTTAAAAGCCATCTTATTTACAACCTTGATTACAGAAGTGCTGTTGGAGAAATAGTTTCACTTGAAGATTCTCTTTTGCTTGCTTTAATAAAACCAGTCACCCAGTTAGACTGCACATAGTTTTCTGAAAACAGAATTTAAAAAATGCTTTCAAAATGCTAGGTCCTCCAAGAAAAGTGTTTTAAGAGTTTTAGAAACTCATCAGAACTACTGAGGATTCATTACTTAAGAAACAAGTTGTCTAAAGGGTAAAGTTTTAAACCATTCTAGCAGCATGTATAAAATGTTTGCTGCCATGAAATGTTTTAAGATCTGTTGAACTGTTACTGTGTAGAATGCAAGCATTTGGCACAGGAAGGAGGTTTAAGGCTTTGAGTTTGAATTCAGAAATGACTTGCAAATCCAGAAGGACTTGAGCTAGGGTCATGGATAAGCTGAATACCTTCCTAGCTTTTAACTTCCTTATGTAGCTTAATTTCCCCCCTGTGTTTTCCCTGTTACTTTAGTTGAGGGAAAGGGCACATAATACTGATTTTAAAAAAATGCAATGTTCATCATGTCATCATTTGCCCAGGAACCTATAGTTCAGCAGCAATATTGCCTAGGCTTTTGCAGAGTAAATACTAAGTTGTCCCAAATAATTAGTAACTGTTAAAACAAAAAGCAACAACAAAAATCCCCACAAAAAAGTCCTTTAGTCAAGTGTTCTATTTTATGCAGGGCCATCTACTGGATAAGCTTCAAGTTTGTGTTCCAAGACTGCTCAAGGTTAAAGCTCTTCCTGTAGTCTGACTGAAATTTTTGAATAAATTCCCATGTTACTGGTTTACAACAGAAAGATATTAGAGAAAACAGCTTATCAGAATCTGTCTTTTTTGCTCAATTAGAATGCCTGTTAATAAGCACTGGAATAAGCAGAGATGGAGGCTGTGTTACAGATTACCATCACGGACATCAAGGACTGAAAAAAATGAAGAAAGAACATAGGTAAATAGTTCTTAACCTGATCTGGAGAAAGTTTCTGAGCTTTGTTTTAATTGGTTAATTAATTGGTTGCATTTTTGGTTTCATACCAAGAGTTTAGCTTCAGGATTTTTTGTGATTAGAAGTTCCAAGATACATGTTTCTGAAAGATGCTTTTTAAAATATATTTTCCTTTACTACTTTTTGGATACTACATTTTGTGTCCCAAAAAACCCCATAAAAATATCTTCTAATTTTGCCAACCTAGCACTGTATCTGAGATCAGTTGACTGTCTCTTTTATCCTAAAGATTTGTAAATCAGCATTCCATTAGTAGACAAGCCCTAGAGTGTGTCTCATTTAAAGAAACTTGTGTTACTTGGTAAAGGGAAGCTGCAGGTTTTTCAGGGCTTTTTTATTTTGGTTTTATTTAGTCACTATTAAGCTTTGTTGTGCAAGAATGTGTGTATCTGAGTCTTAAGTACTGTGTTGGAGCAAGCATAGTGCTTCTGGTAAGGTTTTGATTGGATCTGATGGGCTCTGCAGGCTATAGTTTTATGTCCAGAATTTGTGATTATTTTTTTTTACCAAATCTCCTTCAGCCCTTTAATTTTCAGTTTTCAGCATATTGAGAAGTGCTTACTTGCTGTGGTGTGTTCCTCTACAAGGCAAGAGTTTTTAGCATTACTGTAACAGGCCTGCTAGAGCCATGTGCACTTGAGCATTCTAGATAATTGTGGAGGGAGAGGTCTGACAAAATCTTCAAGGAGAGCAGAATGTGGCACTTTCTTAAGAGGAGTAACTCAGGTGCTTTTCCACACTGCACAGGTGAAATGTTTTAATTTACTGACATATCTTTGTTATACCTAACACATGTCAATCATCTCTCCTTCTGTAACTTTTACTTGGTTTTATTCTTTCAGGATATTTTCAGAAACCAAAAATAGTCTTGAGGACCAAATGTGTTTCTTTTTGACAAAACATATAGAAAATGCTGAAGCTTTCACTGTCACTGTAATACTTCTGAAGAGGTTCAGAGTCACTGTGTGATTCTGTTTTAGAACAGAAGGCTTCAATAACTAGCAATAAATGCAAAGGACTTGCAGACCAAAGGAAGGAATGTTTGGTATTAAGGTAGTACTTGGAGCACAGTGTGTTCAAGGCCCTCTTAATTTCAGGGAATGTTTGGCAATGATTTTGCTGCTCTACACTTAACAGTATTTTGTACGGAACATATTCTGAGACCTAGCATTTTATATGCTCTTTTTGTGTATGAATGTGTTCAACAGATTTTGAATCTTTTATTGTCAAACTTTGATAACATAATAAAGTTGATCTAATACACCTTGTCTCCTGTTGTGAATAATGTGTTGTCTCACTGCTCAGATGGAATGCCAACTTGTTGCTGTTTTTAATCCTCATGGATTCTTGGGTGTCTTGTTTTCTCAAATAATTATGGCTTGGTTCATCTTCCACATGCATGTACTGTATTGTGGTACACTTGGAATTTCAGTTAATTGTTCTTGAGTTTATGGAGATATGGAACTGAGGTTATTCAGGTTTTTTTTTTGTTTGCTTCTTTCTTGCTCATCTGATATGAAAAGTTCTTTGGGTGCCTCATGCTTCTGTTCAGGTAATGATTTTGAGCTCAGTCCTTCAATCCTGAAGTGTCCTAAATGCTCACAGTTGCCTTTTAAATTGTTGGTTTCCAAACAGATCCACAAACTCATGCACACTGACCGTACTTTTTTGCAATTAAAAACAGTGCATTGTGGCTGTGAAGAAACTGAAAAAGACAATTCTGTAGGGTAAAAGACCCTGGAAATTGTCTTCCTTCTCTAATCTAAAAGCATCTAGTGGTTGGCCTTGATGCTTCACCAATCACTAATGATTGCTTAGAAGTCTTGAGAAAGAAGAAAAAATGATAAGGCTGAAACTTGCCTTGTGTGAGCTTTCTTTATGTGATAAAGACTGTAATGCATTATTACAGAGGAGCTTTAGTGACTGCCCCTCTCTGTGCCCTAGATCCCTGCTGATTGGACATGTCCTAGTACAGCTTGGGCCTTCCTCAAGGTTACAATATGATTGCAGGAGAAAGGGGAATGTGGCATTCCTCCAGCTCCCTATTAAAATGGGGAACGTCTTGCACTAAAGCACTGTGCCAATACTTGAAAGAAGCTGAGAAGGCTGAGAGCTCAGGGAATTGGGGACAGAATGATAATGAGGCCTGGCTGGAGTAATGCCAAGCCATGCAAAAGACTGATGTCCGATGTGATGCTGGAATGTTGATGTAACACTGGTGCTACCTCAGGTTGTGCATCTGTTAAATAAGAAAGTTGTAGTTGAATATTGCATGTGCTATTCTGCTGTGCAACCCTAAATCCTTACTTTAAGGATGGGATTACAGTTTTAAGAAATTGTTGACTTTTGTTCCCTTAAAGACAGTTTTCCTCCAGAGTTCTAGCTAATAGTTTCTTCTGTTTTAAGACTAATTTAGCTTTTGGTCATTCAGATCAACAAATGACTAAAGTGCCATGTTTAGTTCCCAAATCAGTGTTCTTCAAGCAAAAGCAGAATATAATGAGACCAGGAAATCAAGGAAATATTGGTGTTAAGTTTATCTTAATTGTTTGTCTATATTGTCTTGTTGGGCAAATTCTTGTTCTAAACTATGCAGCAGCTGAGCAGAATGTCCCAATCCTCAACTATCTTCCTTCTCATGTAACAGGTGATCACTGATTTTGTGTGAAATATTTTAGCCAGGTATCTTCATTTCAGGTTTTAGGCATTAGCTCTCAAATAAGTTAATGCCCCCAGCTCAGCAGATTTGGAAGCAACAGCAGTGTTGTACTAGTATTTGTAGCACTTTTGCATGTTCTCTTCAGTTTGTTACCAAT